TACCTCAAATTGACGGGCTAGATTTGGGGTGGAATATGTAGAACACAAGTGACGCCACATTCGATTGGCGGTAGGAAACAGGGGGAGACTGAGACAGGTTGAGGAGTCGACTGAACCAAGCAACAGCGAGCGCACACGTGCATTGTTTAGCTTCCAGTTTGCTACCTCTTGATCGGATGTCGGCGGTGCAGATGGCTTAGGGGTTTGTCCGTCGAGGATTCCAAGCAAGCCCTTCCCCTCAACGAACACCCTAAACTGAAACTCCCATAAAGCAAAATTGGTAGATGTGAGTTTGACGGAAAACCTTTCAGATTCGGTCGCGGTAGGCTCTGATACCATGTTGATAAACTGGAAACGAATTTGAAAGCAGTAAATGACACAGACGGATTTACATGGTATCCCCGGTTTCCCAGGACTAATCTACAGAGGAGCTTGGAAACTCCTCAGCTACTGATGTTACTGTGATAATCGTTTGTGTTGATCAATACAGCTGCACCCCTAACCCTATATCTACATTCGACTAGCATTAGGGTAACAAACTGATGTCGACCTCCTCTACTCTTCATGGGCCCTAACTCCAAGATAATACATGGGCCAAACCTGAAACTCCAAGATACAAAGCCAAAGCCAAAAACGACACTACAACACAGCAAATGCAAAACGGCAGTAGTATACTGCTAACAGCCTCCCCCAAATTGATGCCGAGTAGTGAGCATCAATTTGCTCCCGAGATACCAATGGCGACTAGTAGAGAAAGCCTTGGTGAACAAATCAGCCACCTGGTCTTCGGTGGGAACATAGCGGAGATGAACAGTACCATCCTGGACCAGATCACGAACATAGTGCACATGTATTTCAATGTGTTTTGTCAGATCGTGAAGCATAGGGTTGACTGCAATGCGAATAGCGCTGGTGTTGTCGACATGAAGCTCCATCGGAAGTGTACTCGATATCTCCAAGTCAGACAGAATGCGGTGTAGCCAGACAAGCTCTGAGCAGACCTCAGACATAGCACGATATTCTGTCTATGTGGAAGACTTGGAGACTTTGTCCTACTTCTTGCAACGCCAGGAAACGAATGCCTCCCCGAGTTGCACACACCAACCTGAGGTAGATCGACGAGTATCGACACACCCTGCAAAATCAGAATCTGAAAAAGCACGCAACTCAGTCATCCAGAGGAGGGAAACAAAATACCAAAATCCTGCGTTCCCTGTAGATAACGGAGGATGCGATGAACTGCAGCGAGATGATCGACACGAGGGTCCTGCATGAACTGGCTGACTACTTGAACAGCATAGGAGATGTCCGGACGAGTAGCAGATAAATAAATCAAACTTCCTACAACTCGAGTTATTGAGATCAACTGGTTCTTGACACCTGTTCACCTTCCACTTTTCCTCCTGTGAAAAGAGGAAGAGACAATCTGGACCTAAATTGCAACTGTAATTTTCTTCCATTTTGGCCTTCGATTTGTTTTGGTGAACCATGTAACTTGTAGGACACATCTTTTGAGGTAATCATTCAAAGCTTCCTGCAAGACCATGGAACTGTAGGCAATAATTCGAAGTTTTCATGATCTAGCTCTCTTCAAGTGAAGTTTTCCTAAATAGTTGGTTCATAACATCAAAAATATTCAGCTAATGAGTAGAGAAATAACAATGCCATCACTTAAATTCAAGTACACCAATGGAGCAGAGAAACAACAATGTCACCTTGTCTCCCACTTATCTTTCTATCCTCTCTCCTTTCCTCATTGTCTCACACTCATCTTTCTATGCTCGCTCCTTTCCTATTTATCAGTGTGTAAGAGGTGACATTAACCAAGGCATATTAAAAAAAAGTGAAACATAAGTTAAAGAACCTTGTTGTGAACTCAGAAAGATATCTTTTTATCTTTTCTCCTTTCCTATTTGTCAGTTTGTAAGAAGAGTAACCAGATTGTGCTCCATTGACCAAGGCATAAAAAAAGGGTGAAACATAAGTTAAAGCACTGGATTCACATATCCATTGGTAGGGTTCTTCCATTACATTTTAGATTGATTTTTTGTTGGTGAACTCAGAAAGAGATCTTTACAAAGAATACACTGACTTAAGTGGGACCAATTATTGAATGGTAACTAGATTGTGCTATTCTCATCTAGTTTATTTAAGTAACGACATACACTACAGCCGACAATGTACACAGACAGATTGGTTCTATATCTTTCTTGCTGTTTTTCTTTCTCCCTTGTTTACATATTAGTCTCCCTTTTCTTTTGAGATCAATTCTTTTGATATCCTTTTCTCTTGTCTTTTTTAGCCTTCTCTTGTATTGGGACTTCTATGTTTCCTTTTTTCTTATATATTTACCCTTATAAATAAATAAAAAACAGGAAATAAACAATAACATCAAGAGCAAGAGCCAATAAAAGAACTTGTTCTTGAAAAAATTGCTCAATCTGATGGCTACAACGTTGATATATGCAGAGCACCTATTGAAACTGGGATTTCAAACTCTAATAAATAATTGCATTCACCCTTTCAATTACCTCAGATGAAGAAAATAAGAGAAGCAAAGAGTAACTCACCAATTGAAAGCCCGACTTCAACACAACTCTGGGAATTAATTAGCAAGAATTTGGGAGAAGAGTGACCTCAACCGTATCGCTAGCGCATGATTCCTTGACTGGGAAGCGGGAAGAGAATCAATGCACCACTCCGGGTATGGAGAATGGTCGAAATCTGGTCGAACTGATAAAGGAAGCCCCAAGCCTTGGTCGAACGGATGAAGGAAGCCCCAGGCTCAGCTCAGTTGACACAACACTAGGAATCACTGGGAATCCATTACAGAGGGTATGGGAGAAGCGGCGAACGCGATTCCTCGACGGAGTTTCTGTGTTCATCAAAGAGAAATAATTATGTTCCCTGCTGGTTGGTAGTTACTAGTTACACTGGACAACTTGGATATAGGAATGGAAGCCGCAAAATAGGAGATCAAAATCAAACTCGCTCCCACCCAGACACCTAGGACACGGAAAATCTAATGAACCAACATAGAAGGACATAGGAATTGAAACCGCAAAATAGAGGACAACGGTGGGTGCGGAAGTTCACCCACTGAGATTGCATAAAGGTATAAAGAAATCACTGGTACAGAAACGGGTCTATGAGAATAAAACCTACCAACCTTGTCGGTCGCATCTGTCCCTAACAATCTCAATCATTTGCAAGGTAATAGGGATGGCAACAAAACCCGAACCCACGGGTACCCACCCGACCCAACCCGGTCAACGCCGGTAAAATTCGTGTTGACGGGTTTTGGGCCGGGTTTGGGTTTAAACCCGTTCACTATTCATCGGGTTGGGTTGGATTTGGATTTAGGTAAACCCGACCCATGGGTACCCGCCCACACCCATATAATTAATTTTCTCGGTATATTTAATATTCTAAACAACTAATCTTATTTATGTTTATGGAGACATGTCTAATTTTTCTTTCTAATTTTGTAGAACGAAGTTTAAGTTATCGAGTGGAGAGTGAAGAAAATTAATTGAAAGGAAGAAGTTTTTAATTAATCATGTTATTTATGGATAATTTATGATTTGCTTCAATTTTCTTGAGTTTTCTAGATTGGTGTTGAACAATTTGTATAGTTAATTTGTGATTTGCTTGAATTTCTAGAATTGTGTTTTATATATGAATAATTTGTATTGAGAGATTGATATTTGGTTTTAATTTTGATAGGAACTTGTTATTGTAATTTTTTACGACAAAAACCCGTCGGTACCCATGAACCCGCGGATACCCAGCGGGTTGGGTTTGAGTTTTTCAAACCCAGTGGGTTTTATCCCAGATTTTTTTCATGGATAAAGTCATGGGTTTGGGTTTGGGTTTGGCAAAACCCTACCCAACCCGACCCATTGCCATCCCTACAAGGTACAAGAATGGCGACTGCTATCCAGAAGAGGAAGAGGCCCAGGCCCGCACTCAGGGGCGGACCCAGGTGGAAGTTAGGGACACCGTACAATTTGGGAGAAAAATTATTGAACCCCCGATAGTAGTTTGAGTATAGAAAAAAATTAAAAGATGTAGTTGTAGACTTGTAGTATATGTGATTCAAATTTATAACATACTAGTTATTAGTGAATTTATTTTCTATTGGACTACATTTTATACATGTTGTACTTGTAATTTTGTCATAAATGTAACTATAAACGTGTAGCTCTTATATCCAAATTTCTCAAGCGTAAAATTAAATCTGCGAACTATCCATATCTCCACCGCTAACATGATTTTATCATGAAGAGTTTGGTCATCTTTTTATTGTTTTCTTCTACAGGATTTTCAGAATTTTTATCATTGTGTTAAGCATGATGAGTTATTTTGTGAAAAGGAAATGATGAATCAACTTAATTGATAGTTGAGACAAATTGAATCTATCATATTTTGTGGATCAATTTGCTCATTAAAGTTTTATTGGTTTTACCAGTATTGAGAGACCTTATCCAACTTAGAGTTAGATCAAGAACAAGTTTTGGAATCGAATTGTCTATTAGTTCATGAACAATTGTCTAGTAGGATATAGAGAAATTTTACAATGCTATATAGTATTGATGCTATAAGATTTTGCCTTTATGGTACAACTTAAAATTGTACATTTACGTTGTGGTACAACTTCAGATTGTACCTATACTTTTTGTACAAATTCTTTTATGGTACAATTTGAACTTGTACCTTTATGTGATGGTACAACTTCAAGTTGTAAAGTTGTACCATAACATAATGGTACAAATTGCTTTATGGTACAACCTAAACTTATACATTTAATGTTATGGTACAACTTTAAGTTATACATTAAAGCACCAATACTATTTAGCATAGTAGAAGTGCTCTAGGATATATTGAAGGAGATATATTAAGCGACAGTACGTGTATTTAATTTTACATTTTTTTTTCAAAATATGATAACCCATCGTTGATTTTTGTGTAACTTGTACTAGTTGGATATATTGTCATTTATAATTTTTTAAAATTTACTATTATTATTTTAATTTAATTTTTGAAAGGGTAATTAGTGAAATTTTATAAAGGGACACCCCTACATAAATTTTCTGGGTCCGCCACTACTCGCACTCCACAAATCCGTCAGTGGGGCTGGAGTTGCCGATCCGTAACATGAAATTGGCAGTGAACAATGAAAATCGGTGCAGAGGGTCGGTAATCGTTGGGGTTGGGATCTGCAGCTGCCTTACAAAGGAGAGGGGATGGTTGACGATCAGTGCAACCAGTTCTATGTTTGTGGCATGGTAAAGGAAACCGGATCGTACCAGCCGGTTGAACCGGTAAAACCGGAAATCGGACCAATAACGATACGGTAGGCTGGTTTGCTTCAAAATATCATACCGGCCGGTTTTTCCGACTTAATCGGTACAAACGAAAAAACCGCCTGGTTTTGGTCTAACCGGCGGTAGGCTCATTTGAAGGAAAACGTCACCGTTCGAATACTGAAAATTGCTAAAGGCCAAAAAAAAAAAAATGAAAAACCCCTAGTCTGGCCATCGGGGAGGGCTTTGCTTTCATCGTTTCCGTTCCCCATCCCATCTCTGCCCGCCGCTCCTCCTCTTCTCCTATCACCTATGGCGACTGCGAGTGTCGACCGGCGACGTCGACCGGAGAAAGCAAAGAGGAAACCGCGACCGCTGCTCCCTGGCGATTGGCTTTGAGGAGATCGTGGGCTCCCAGCTCGGCTCCCTGGTGATATTGGCCCTGATCCCAGATCTTCTCTGCCGCTCCTCTTCTCTCCTCCTCAGTCCCACCGCCTGCTCGACTCTCCCTCCCCCTCTTCTCAAGAAGACAAGAAGCCGATCCATGCAACGCTCCACCGCTCCTCCGCGCCGCCGCGCCTCTTCTCTTCTCCTCTGGCAAGTGGAGAGTGGCGATTGGAGACCCACAAAGCCACGATTTGAGAGATCAATTAGGTACTGCCCTTGATTCTGCTTTGAGCGCGGGGAGTGGGGGTGAGATTGGTTTAGCGATCTGATGCCTTTTGGTGAGGATATGAGAGAGAGAGAGAGAGAGAGAGAGAGAGAGAGAGAGAGACCGAGAGAGGGGAGAGAGATGGGAAAGGGTTAAGTGCACGCGTATTAATCTATTAAATTATGGGAAAGTTTTTTATAAAAAATAATTATTATTTAAAATTTCTTCTTTTTCTATTAATTTGCTAACTACTTGTATTTATTCATTTATTATCCGGTATATTCCGATATATCCGGTATTACTCCGAAACGATACCCTGATTTTGGCGGCACTGTTTTTTGACAAAAAAATATATTTTATTATTACAAAAACGGTATTTACCGGTATGAAACGGTTGAACCACGATCGTACCACAAAATACCCTACCAAAAAGGAATCCGATATGATGTCCGGTACGGTTTCCTTTACCATGGTTTGTGGCTGCTAAAATTCCAGGGCCCGTTAACTCAACGCTGCGTGTGTGGGCGGTGAAAGTTGATCTTTCCGGAAAAAGCCCCTCCGTGAAACGCTCCTGTGGCAGGGATAATCAAAATAGTCTTAAGATTAGTTTGATTCGGCCTGAAGCCGAAAAGCCCAACAATCTTACCGATGACGATGAGTCTGCAACGGACTTGGGCCTTGAACAATCAAAATACAGTCACCAAGAAACTCAGCCACAGCCCACAGGGCCCAAGTGGAAGAGGTGATGGCGGATGCCGTGTTTTTCCAGGATTCTGATTTTCCTTGTCAACGGTGGCGAAGGGAAGGCGACTGTCCAGTCCCGACGACGGCACTTTTTTATATATAAGAAACCCAGAGAATTTTGCTGGTCCTAAAATTTATTCCAATTTCCCTGTCAATTCGATCTCTTTTCTCCCCCACCAGTTTCGTCGCCTCCTTCGCACGCCAGCCCTTACTCCAATTTCCCAGCGATGTCTTCTACGGCAACGGCCACCGCCGCACCCACAGCCAGTGCAATTCAACGCAGCCAAGTAAGTATTCCTTGTTTCCCCCTTTTTTTCGTCGATTTGAAGCTTCTGTTTGGTTCTTGGGAAAGTGGCTACCCAAGTATTGAGAATCTGCGGATTTTGATGGTTTTAGGGCTAATTGGGTTTTGGGTAATGAATGAATCAGGTTGATCTAGTGGACTTTATCGACTGGTCTGGAGTTGAATGCCTCAACCAAAACTCCGCCCACTCTATTGCCAATGCTCTGAAACAGGTACGATTTCTTGGCGTGCAGATGTTACTGTTTCGTGTGCTGCTTCTGAATCTGATTTTGATGGGGGCTCGATTGGAATATCTGTCGAGTTTCGTTTGTTGGCGTGTTTTAAAATGCTAGGGTGGTGCAGTAGAAAGCTTAGCTATAAGAGTCTCAAATATGCTTCTCCAGTGTTCTATTGAGGACCTCGTTATTCCTCCTCTGTTGTTCATTGTACATGATGGTGTACTTTTCTTGATATAGGGTTACAGGGAAGATGATGGCTTGAATGTTGAGAGTGATGCTGACGAACAGTTGTTGGTCTACATACCTTTCCTTCAAGTTGTTAAACTGCACTCTCTCGCTGTCAAAGGGCCTGAAGAAGAGGGTACGTATCCTCGTGAACTTTCTTTGTACTTGTGTTTTTCCCATCTAGTCAAGGTTTTGTGGTTATCATCTCCATGCAGGTCTCTGATTATACTATCATTTGATTCTGATGTTACAATATGACACCCTTTAATCGTCTTCCAGGTCCCAAAACTGTGAAGCTCTACTCAAACAGGGAGCACATGGGGTTCAGGTATTCTTTGACCCTAACAGCTTTAGTTTGGTTGTTGTTTGTAGGAACACGGCAAAGGATCTGTTGTCTGATGCTTTGTTTTGCTCTGGCAGCAATGTTAATGACTTCCCTCCCAGTGATACCGTAGAGTTTTCTGCAGAAAATATTCAGGTAGACATGTGTTTCTAGTGCTGCTGCTGTTAGAATCTGGATTTCTCATCAGGAACTGGCAATCACTTCCAGAGAGTCTGTTTTGCATTGTGAGTTGACTTTGGTTTGTTTGCTGTAGGCTGGGAAACCTGTAGTGTTGAAGTATGTAAAGTTTCAGAATGTTCGTAGGTAAGTTGATAGTTGATTTCTTGAATTGGTTCCTCATTGTTGTTATACATGCCACAATTTGATCGTTTCGTATAAATTCTGCCCAGCGTGACGATTTTCATCGAAGACAATCAGTCTGGTGGTGATGTTACTAAAGTTCAAAAGATTGCCTTCTTCGGAACAACGTAAGTATTTTTCAAGGATTTTTGTGCTATTTATTCTCTGCAATTGTTTGACCTCTTGGTTGTGAATCTAATCACCCTAATCCTTAGTGATTAGGCGATAGTTAAACAAAAACTCGGGATGTTGTACATGATGGTATGTTTAGGGCGTAACTTTCCTGATTGTTCTGATTCCTTGAGCAAGTGGAAGATTATGTAATCAGCTGTCATTTGGGTGATATATACAGAGACTTAGAGTCTCACAATCATGGAACATTCCTGAATTGATGCAGTAGTGCAAGAGATTCATTCATTGACTGGATCAATTGATGCTAGGATGTTTGTCATTTAGCTTGGCTGGTATCAGGTTGTAGCAGACCGTGAGGTTCTATATTTGTAGTTCGTAGAAACATAGAGCCCTTTTTCCCTTGCTTTCTGCCGGTTGGACGATCTTCCTGTAATGAATTCTCTTCTGTGTGGTTTATAGGGTGGAAACAACAGACATGAAGGGACTGAAGAAGATTGAGGATCACTGATCGCGCGTCCTAGGAGTGGAAGAAGATTAAGAGGGAGGTGTGCGACGAAGACACGGGTGGTTTGGACAACTATTCCAAATTGTGAATTTGCCTTTGTCCGTCGAGAATTTACATTGATCAAGGTGATGTTTGGAATGAAAAGCAACTTTTGAGATTATCATGGAAGTTGACGGTGGATGTCTTTTGCCTGGAAAATATGGAGGCCTTGTGCAACTACTGTTATTAACTTATTATCCATCTAATTTATTATATTAGACTTTGCTGATTTACATGATAATAATGTGTGTTAGGTGGGTTTTCCTAGACTCGCTTACTAATAAGTTCGTACAATTTTGATCCGCAATTTATCCACACACTTCTTCAAGTTGGGTGGATGGTGAATGGGTGCGGTTGGGTTGTGTGTTAGGTTGTGAGTTAACACGCAAATATAATTTTCCAACTAGTAATTAGGCAAGTTAACTGTACATTTATAATAAATTCCTATTAAATTAATAAGATGACATCAATTTAGACACCTCCCAATCTATTTCCTGTGGACGTCTAATACTTGGGTACTTCATCAACCAAATGTGTAAAGCAAGTTCATGTTTTTTTAAAACTTATATACAGCTAATAATTTATAATTGGGTAAATTGCAAGTTTAGTTACTAGAATTACTTATAGAGTTGACGTTTGGCACTAAAATTAATTTATTACATTCACAGTCACTCAAATTAGTTAAACAGTTCAACTTTAGTCACTCTCTGTTAGTCTCCGCTAAATTTTTTTTTTTTTGACGTGGCAGTCATTTCTGATAGTTGACCATTAAGTTAGTGACGTGGCAATTAAAAACTATTAGAATTATAAAATTAATATTTTTTTCACCCTCATTATCAAAATAATTAAAATATAAAAAATTAAACATAATCATCTAATTGAATCATGTAAAAAATTCCAGTATACACTAGTAATTAAAAATAATTCACAAAATACGTTAGTTATAAAAAAAATCCCAAAGTACACATGTTTGACATTCACCGCCTTTGTATAAGGCAGTGAATGCAATCCCCGCCGAGAAGAAAGGCGGGAAAAGATACACCGCGTTTAACAAAAACGGTGAAACTTCACCGTGTTTGTTTATAGCAGTGAAGAAATCACCGCCTTAGAGCAAAGTGGGGAATGCCTTCACCGTGCTAGGTTAAGGTGGGGAAACTATTCACCACGCTAGGTTACGCCAGTGATAGTTTTCCACGTTTTCCAGCCCTAGTAGGTGGAAATTAGGTCACAACCACCTAGTTCACCGCCTTAGGGCAACGCATTGATCACCTTCACCGCAGTCAACAAAGGCGGTGAATGCTCCTTGTTTTTCATATAAATACCCCTCCCACGAGCAGTTGGAAAAACACTCTCCCCCTCTCTCCTCTATCAAATTTAAGCAAAAATCCCAGCAACATACCTACAAAAGCAATTTTTCGGTATGATTTAATTTTGTATTGTTTATATAATGATGTTTTAGTAGTTATATGTGTTTGAGCCTAGAATACACTAGGCGGTTATGAGGCTCCGATCTGGACTCCTTCGTCTGATCTCCTCGAGAGTGGAAGAACCTGTGAGGCGGGGGGCGGCCCCCGGGATCTACGCTCCGACGCCCAAGTTAGTACGACGATATAGGAAGCGGTTTATGGTATGTAGAGAGAGAGAGAGAGAGAGAGAGAGAGTTTAGAGAGAGACCTTAGGCTAGGAGTGTGGGAAGGGAAGAGAGGATCCTTGGCTTAGGGGCTTTGGCCTCCTTATATAGGGCTTGGGGCCTCCTTAAGTGGGCTTGGGCCCGTTTATAGTCATGTAGACATATTAATTCATATCCCAACAATATGTATGTAATGAATTACTGTTCGTAGCAAATATGTTATGTTAGTTATGAATTTACGTTATTGTTAGTTAGTTGAATTTATGTTATGTTAGTTACGAGATGGAGTAATATTATTTTCGTAGTCGTAAAATATGGTTTTAGTTAATTTTATTGAACTTAAGCTAATAGTTACTTATTGTAAATTGCATATATGGGTAAATTTAAGAAGTTTCTGCTTATTATTCGTGGAATGACATGGTGAAGAACTCTGACATTGTGATTGATTATGAAGACGGTGAATCCACTATGTTGAAAATTGAGTCGCGATTCACGTGGCAAGAACTCTGTGACATTTGTGCAGATAGGGTTTGTACGAGCGGACAGACGAGAGTTGGTAAAATTACTTACCAGTATCCAGGCATGAGTGCTGACGGGGTTGTGTACCAAGAAGTTGTCATAAACGATGATGATGCGGTTATCATGATATTACAGTTCCTCAGCAATAATGGGATGCGGCTTGCAGAGGTGTATGTTGAGCCCGAGGTGGTCGGTGAAACTCATTCTCACCAGTATTCTTATGATGATGGTTTTGCAGGAAGGTACGAATGGGGTGGTAGTTCAAGCAACTACGAAAGAGGTGGTTACACAGGAGGGTACGAATTGGGTGGTAGTTTAAGCAACTACGGAGAAGGTAGTTCTGCAAGAGGTGTGACATGGGAAGAATACCCGCAACATGCTCAGCCTGTCCCATTTGTTGAGCCCGACAACATTCAATGGCATGCTTGGGGGCCAGAGTGGGCTGACATTGAGAACACCCTTCGATCTGGGTGTACTTCGCACGAGCGAGAAGACGATGCTGGTGATGCAGGTCATGATGATCATCCTGGGCCGAGCTGTCCATTCTCCTCCACTGACGAGGGAAGTGAAGAAGATTTGAGATCAGTCTGTGAGGAGGAAGATACGGACGAGATCGACTAAGATGAGGTGGCGTTCTGTGAGGCACCAACGCAATACTAAATACAGGTCCCAACTCTTTTCCCCGATCGTGTCCCAGTCACCGGTGAGCAATGGCAACCATATGTCTTGAATCCATCTGTTTGCCTTGTCGGGAACAGAATTCCACCGACCAAACCAATGAGGTAGATGCGTGCATAGCGCTCCACTTGATCTTCCGGAGTGTCTGGGCCTATTTGAACCTCATTTCGGATGTGAGCAACGAGCCACGGGATTGACACTTGTCCCGCATTCAACGATGGATGCCCCCGTCCTTGGACTGGAGTGGTGGTCGGCATGTCAAAGCCCAAACTGCACGGGAGCGATGTGCTTCTTGCTCGGATAAATACTTCGTATCTCGTGGCCCATAATGGATAGACAATCGAGGATCGTATATCTCAGCACCTATCTATAAAAAAAGTAATGAAATAAGATTGTTTTGGTTAAAAAAAATCAAAAAATCATATTGTTTCGATTAAAAAAAATAACTTACAAAAGGAAAACCAAGAACCTACCGAAGAGCCTCTTCGTCCATTTTTTGGCGGAAGCCGGACATAGGTTTGACGTGTTTTTAGAGGGACGGGCTTTAGGGTATAACTCTACTAATTCTTTCTGATGTGGAAGATCAGACTTAGCTGCAACCACAGAGCATACTTAGAACGAAACTAGATGGAGGAATGGAGGGAGAAAGAATTGTTGTGTGGTGGTGTGATTTGGAAGAGGCGAGAAGGGTTCTATTTATAGGGGGAAGAGGACTGCTGAAAATATAAATGGATAGCCATCATCGCGTTTGTCAGCGGCAGTGAAGGCCCCGCCGTTTTCGAAAGCGGTGAAAACCGTGGATAGTTGACGTGGAAGGCTGTGAGGCATCGGATCTGGGAGGAAAACCAGAATACGCGCCTCACTACATCCAACGGTAGCGGTGAAGCATCCGCGCGACGCGGATCGCTGACATGGACAACAGGGAGTTCACCGCCTTTCTTTGGACAGCGAGCCACATCGCATTCACCGTGGTGAATGTCAAAAATGTGTACTTAGGAAAAAAAATTTATAATGAACGTATTTTGGAATTTTTTTAATTACTAGTGTATACTGGGAATTTTCCTTGAATCATCCCAACCCAACTCTCGCTGTCATTTCTTAGCTCTTCCCCCTACCTCTCTCTCCATCACTCCCAGTTGCAAGCAATAATATATAGCTAGCTAAGTGACAACTTACAAATTGAAGCTCCCCGACCTGAAGCCCGCATTGTCATTCCAAAAGTATTCATCATCTTCAGAACCGCCATCGCCTTCTTCTTCGCCTCTTCCACGCACCCGAGCTGCAGAACCAATACCGACTTCTCAAACTCCCCCGACCTAAAGCCCTTCCACAAGCTCCCTCTGGTCGCACCTCCCGAGCTTCCAAATCACCGAGACGGAAAACTCTGTTGTCGTCGTTGATATCCTCAGGATCTTTTTCACCAGTAGGGCCACCGACAAGGAGTTCCCCGACGCAGCGGCTCTGCCCTTGGAATCGTCGCAGAGCTAGTTCAGAATCCCCAACGCCTTCTCGCTCACGATGTGTTCTTTCGAGGAGGATATTATCATCTCTAGGAGGAACGAGACGGTGCCGGCTTCATTTACGGATGATTTGAAGCAGTCGTTGGCTTTTGAGGTTGAGGTCTGTAGGAGCTGGAAGATCAGAGTTAGGGAGAGCTTGGTTATGACGAGGGAAATTGGAGATCTCAGGAATACAAATAGGATTTGGAGATCTTAGGAAAGACGAAGAAACCAACAATTCCTCGAGCGCGACGAGCGAGTTCTGCTTGGTGGGGATTCTGTTGCCGTTCGATTTCAAGAACCACAACAGAGTTTGACCAATTTCGGCAAATCGAGGTGGTCGCGAGCTGATGCTGCTAATCCTCCTCCGTCTTCGTCGCTGCTGGTCATCGCAAACATCCAGCTCATCGAGCTCAGCAGCTCCTCCAGAACCACGCCACGCTTCTTCTCGCGATCGTCGGGATTGGTACAAATCAACATCTTTTTCCATCTCTCACCTTCAACTTCGGCCCCTTTTTCTTTTATTTCATGCGAACCAGAAATTGACTATGTGGGTTGCAACTGGGAGTGATCAGAGAGAGGTTGGGGAAGAGCGACGGTGAGGGGTGGGTAGGAATGATTCAATTAGGTTTATTTTTTATTTTTTAATAATTTTGATAATGAGGTGAAAAAGTAAAATATTAATTTTATTAATTTTTTAATTGTCATGTCATTAACTTAACGGTCAACTATCAGAGTTGACTGCCATGTCAGAAAAATTTAACAGAGACTAACAAAGAGTGACCAAACTTGAACTGTTGAACTAACTTAAGTGACTACGGATGGAATAAATTAATTTTAGTGGCAAAAATGCACTTTAAAAGTAATTCCAGTGACCAAACTTGCAATTTACGCGTTTATAATTTGAATCTCAATATTTAATGGACATTATACAACAAAGTGATCAATAGTAGTAGCCTAACAATATTCTTTATTTTTTGCCTTTAGTAGTCAATGGCTAGAATGTAGTGTCGGTTAAAAAATACGATAGCTATTTGGTAGTATAAACAAAACAACTATTTTGCATAAAAACTAGAGTAGAGTCTGTTCCGTTGGCCGGATAGGTTTCAGTGTTTGTGAAACCATATTGTACTGGCGATTCGACCCAAAAACCTTCTAGTCGAGCTCAAGCTAGAATAAGATTTTTTCCAATATGAAACGATTTGACCACGGTTTTACAAGTACGATTTTACAATTCTTGATAGATTTAGATTTTTTTTGTATATGTAAATTGAGCATTGGGTTACAAAGATTTTACACACATTTGGCAGATCGTTCGTGAGTTACTGATGAAATAGGAACTGTAGTGGATTTCTCGATAGATGGAACTGTAATAAAGAATAATTAGAGATTTGAAAATGTTTAGAGTTGACGTGTTAGTAATAGAATGAAGGTCCTTACATGCAAGTTTCTTTCAATCGTAATATCGTTGTAAGGAGTACATGATGTACGAATAGTCATGTTTCATCTTGAAACTAAATGATTGTCATCATATGGATTTGAATGCGTTGATGAAGTGATTGTACCAATAGTCGTCTTTCTTGGGTGAGAACACCACAACAATTATTTGGTCTAAAATTTATCCATATAAAAGAGACATGACATTTGTGTAATCATGGACAATACTAAGATGACTATGAACTACATCCTATTTGGTGATCATACCACAGGTAAATTTGAGACAAAGTCATGAACAATGTAGTAATTTCCCTGCAAGAGTCGCAAAATTGTTAGCACTTATTGTGCAAGTGAGATTGCTATAATTTTTATCTAACATCACAAACAAAATGAAATGAGCTAAGTTTGATACATATTTAGCCTTAGAAAATGCTGAGTGTTCTTTTCCCCCTAAATGATGGGAATCATAACTTATATGCTCATAAATATGTACAGTACGCGTTTTTGTTAGATCACATATGCATAATTTTAAAGGGTACAATAGTTGATGTACAACTTGTAAGTTGCAAGGAGATTAGAAGAACATCTGTAACGAGATAGATTGAAAGGGCATAAATGAGTACCAGATGCATATGAGATTGCTGAAATGTGTATAGTTCTTTAGTGGAGCAAGGTTGTGCTACATGTTTTTCAATGTATACTTACGTGATTACATAGACTTGCTTGTTTGGGGTTGATTAGGAACTACAACATGGAAAATTATTAATCAAGGAGTTCTTGAGTACAATTTTGATCACTTGTTGTAACACTCTGATATTTGGGTTCAAGTTCGACCATACTAAATGAACGATTGGATTAACGATTACGTACGAAGAGTTGCAATCGTACATGAATTAGGGATAACAGTAATGAGAGTTATTATTACTATTATAAAAGAAGGTGAGAATCAATCTCAATCTCACTCTCACTCGTGAACCCACCCCAACAATTATTTCCCCTCACCCCAATCGTTTCCTGTTACCGTAAAAGCGCCAGCGAGTGAGTGGGGACTTCATTAATCGAGATCATGGTAGGTGGCAGAGGAATGGAGTTCACGTGAATTGTAATTGGGAGGGGAGATTTGTCCATTGTTTCCATTAAATGTCTGTGAAAGTCCGGGAAATAAGAGAACGCCACTCTTCCTGCTCGCCACTGTCGGTAGGCACAAGTGAGCTAGGCGATGCTGGGAAACGTCAAAGCCAAGCAAGGAGGTAAGGGTCGTATGTTTCAGTTTGTCAAGGATGATGAGGGTAGTCCATTTCCAGAAATCTATATCTATATGTTTACAAGGGGATCTCGGCAAACTCGTGTGGTGGCTGTGATCGAGTGGGAAGGAGGATACCGGTTGCGGACGATTGACGTCCGTGACGGGATCTAGCGGCAACAAAGGATGACTAAAATGAGATTTGATTGAGATAATTAAGTACAGACTTTGGCTGGGATTACAGATGGATTTACGTTACTGGTTTCAGTCATGGTGGTATGAGTTGCTGTGGGTAGGAGATTTAATGTTTAAAAATGCTCGGTTGGGTAACCTCGTGTCGTATGGTTGTTGGGTGTTGGCATATGGAATAATGGTCTCTCCTCAAGTAGTGCTAACCAGGACGTAGAATTATCAATTATATTAAGGAATGATCAAGTACTGAACTAAGATGTTAGCATTTCTTCTGGATAATCATGCTGGAAAGATGGATCTATGTTAGTTGTGTATTTAACATTGGCGTAGCCTTGTCGCCATGTTAACCGGACATAAGCCATGGATCTCATGGTGGATCCATAAATTAGGACATGGCTTTTAGTAGCAAAATATAACAGATGGGAGAGGTTAATTAGTGTGGTAATTATAATAATGAAGAAAGTACCCGTAAGCAAAATGGAAGGCAAGAATTGGGATTTGGGATTAATGAACCACGTATGGGAATTGTGAAGTGAGATGGAGCTAGCCATGCAAGCACACATTCACTAGGAATATTATGAGTGGGTTACATGATTACTTTTGGCTCCTGAACGACATGAACCGGGTGACGAAGTGGGTTGGCTTTTGATGCTTTAAAGGTACAACATAAACAGTCGGCCGCTACTTGATTTGGATGTGGCGATTGCAAGCACTTACGAGGATGATAAAGGCGAAGGGACTCACATAAGTTGGTGTTTAGATCAGGTCATTCCATTTGATTAAGAAGGTGAGTGGTTTAAAGGGGTAAATTCTATGCCTTACGTATTTTCAAGTATTTGACTTACGAGTTTTAAGTATGTGTGTTTATGTTAATTGTATGCAGTGATTGATTTACGTCATGATTGATAAAACACATTTTATTTTAGATATTGTCTGAGATGCTCTATTTGATTTATGATTGTGAATAATGACTGGAGATTTAAAAGGATAAGACTTTATGGATTGAGGTTTGCCCAAATGTTAGGGCTTTGCTTTTAAATTATAAGATGTATTTTCAATATTGGTATTTTGAGCACATTATTATTTCTTTCTTTCAAAATTTTAAATATGCTCCGGAGAAAAACTGTTATTTAAGGGTTTTAGAGATCGGGATGTGACACTTGTCCCCTGCATTGCAAACAATAATGAGTGTGTAGATGGTAAGATTCATACTAGTGGAATATGATTTCATAGATTCAAGTAGAGTAACACAAATAGTTTGAGGTGCACTTTTTTACTTTGTACATAGACACACCTTAAGAGAATTCAAATATTGATTTTGTATGACAAACTTTGCTATATAATTATAGGAAATAAGTAATGACATTTTAAAAGTGAGTCATACAATTGTACGAATTTTACTCAGCTATAAACAAAATTGAGAATGGGATTTGATAAATATGTATTAGTCTTCTGAAATGAGTTAGGAAGGCGTCTAATACTTGTGCACTTCATCAACCAAATGTGTAAAGAAGTTCACGTTTTTTAAGACTTAGATACAACTAATAGTTTATAATTTGAATCTCGATATTTAATAGACATTATACAACAGAGTGATCAATAGTAGTAGCCCAAAAATATTCTTTATTTTTTGCCTTTAGTAGTCGATGGATAGAACGTAGTGTCAGTTAAAAAAGACGATAACTATTCAATAGTATATAAAATAACTATTTTCATATAAAAATGGGGTGTGGGTCATTCGGATAAATATAAAAATGGGGTGTGGGTCATTCGGATGACCCGCAACCCACTCATCACCCACCCGATAAGTGCGGGTTGGAGATTTGTTGATCCACAATCCACCCACTTCAATCACCCATCTACTGCGGGTTGGATTATTTGTGGGTCGATCGATGTCAAACCGTGGATTACACACCCACGTGCCCACCCTTAATATGAAACATTACCGGACGAGTGTTTATCGTATCCAATACATTTGGTTGCCGCAGCATGGTCTGGGTAATAGCATTTTACTTGTTAACCACTCAGCCTTATCAAGGTAGGTGGGTTTTTTTCCAGGGTCATGGTCGCGCACGACCAACTATATTGCTGATTCGTCGGGCCTCTGAAGAATGAAGAACAAGTCGACTGGTTCGACTCAGTCCATATTCTGGTTCATGGGTTTGACTTAGAGGCTGGTTTATGGATTGCTGCTTGAAGAAGCACTCTGCAACGTCGTTGGTACCACCACGACGTCGTCCCACTTATTCCAGTTCATTACTCTTGTTACCGTTGAGCCTGCATACCTGTATAGTTTTTATTGGCTCTTTTCTTTCTTAGTGGAGTTAGTTTACACTGTTAATAGTTAGTTAGCTTTTCTCTTTGTTTGGTTTCTCAGCAGCACTATATAAGCTGCTTGTACATGTTCTTGCCATCTCAATGAAACAGAAAGTTTCTACAAACCCTATTCTTATGGTATCAGAGCTTCGTTCACTCTGCTAGGGTTTCTTTATAAAAAAAAATGGCTACTGAAGGAACAGGTGGATCTACTGGTTCTACTTCATCAGGAACCATGTCTACCAATGTCTTAGCTACCAGTTCAACAGATCAACTTGTTCCACAATCCATCGTTTCTGTGAAGTTCAATGGTAAGAACTACAACCTCTGGAGTAGATCTGTTTGTATTGCCTTGAAGACCAGGAAGAGACTTGGTTATGTTGATGGATCTAAACCCCAACTAGCAAATACTGATCCCACATTTGAAGAATGGGATGCCAACAATACTCAGGTACTAGGCTGGCTTTTTAACTCTCTTGATGATAAGATGGTTGATAGTGTACCTAGTACTGAAAATGCTCATCAGATCTGGGAAGATCTGAAGATGAGATATGGTCAGGCTGATGCTGTAAGGCTAGTTGATTTACAGACTTTGATATACTCTTGCCAGCAAGGATCTCTTAGTGTGAACGAGTATTTCACCAAACTCAAGACTCATTGGGAAGAATATATCCAGTATAGGACTGTTGTGTCTGTTCCTTGTTCTTTAGCAGATTGTCCTTCTACTGCAGCTTTGAAAATCATGAGGGATTTTCTGAATGATGATTATGTTATGAGATTTATAAAAGGATTGAATGAAAACTATGAGGGTGTTAGAACAAATCTGCTCATGATGAAACCTATGCCAAGTATTGGAGCTGCTTTTAGTTACGTTCTGCAGCATGAAAGACAGCTTGATCCCCAAGGGGTTGGACCTAAAGTTGCTGATAATCTAGCCCTAGCAGTTGATGGTAATAGAGGAAAAGACCAGAGAAGAGGTCAGGTACAAGTTCAAGGCCTGTTTTGCAGGTATTGCAAAAAGGATAATCATGTCAAAGAAGACTGTTGGAAGTTAAAGGCTAAGAACAAAAGGTTAATGGAAGGTGGTTCTGGGAGTCCCTTTGTTGGATCTGTTTCTATTCCAGGAAACACAAGTGGAGGAGAACAGACTACATCTAGATCACAGGGTAGTCAGGAAGAGGAGACTGGATCGTCCAATTTCAGAAATCTGAAACTTAGCAATGAGGACTACAACAGGATAATGAACATTCTGCATCAATCACCACCAGCTTCACCTAATTCCTCCAGACCCAAGCAGTTGGATTTACATGGGTTTTCAAGATAAAACTCAACCCAGATGGAAGTGTAGAGAGGTACAAAGCAAGACTTGTTGCTAGAGGCTTCACTCAAGTACATGGAATCGATTTTCTTGATACATTCTCTCCTGTAGCTAAAATCAATACAGTGAAAACATTATTAGCAGTGGCAGCTGTTAAGAATTGGCATCTACATCAAATGGACGTAAGCAATGCTTTTCTCCATGGAGACCTTGAAGAAGAAGTATTTATGGAAGTACCATCTGGTTTATCAGTTGCAGAAAATGGACATAAGCAGGTCTGCTTATTAAGAAAATCTCTTTATGGGTTAAAGCAAGCTAGCAGACAATGGTTTGCTAAGCTTACTACCTCTTTGATCAATCTTGGATTCAAACAGTCTCAAGCAGACTACTCCATGTTCACTTGTATTTGTGGAGATTCTATTCTGATCATATTAGTGTATGTTGATGACATTATTGTCACAGGAAATGATTTGGATCAAATTTTAAAGACCAAACAGCAGCTGGCTAAGGAATTCAAAATCAAGGATTTAGGTACATTGAGATACTTTTTGGGATTGGAAATTACAAGGAGTCCCAAAGGAATCTTTGTTTGCCAGAAGAAGTATTGTCTTGATATGCTAAAGGATGCAGGGTTTCTCAGTTGTAAACCTGCATTAACTCCAATTAACATGAAGACTAGGTTGTCTGCAGGAGCTGGGAATCTATTGGATGATCCTTCACCATATAAAAGGCTGGTAGGAAAGCTTCAATACATCACAACCACCAGACCTGATATTACCTATGTGGTTCAACAACTTTGTCAGTATCAACAAGCTCCAACAGATCAACACTTGCAGGCAGCACACCATGTTTTAAGGTATCTCAAAGCTCACCCCACACAAGGACTATTGTTTCAGTCTAACACTAGTCTGCAGCTTAAGGGGTATACAGATGCTGATTGGGCAGCATGTCCTGATACAAGGAAGTCTCTTTCAGGGTATTGTACATTCCTTGGAAATTCCCTAATTACCTGGAAAACTAAGAAACAGCAGACGGTGTCCAGATCCTCATCTGAGGCAGAATACAGATCCCTGGCACTGCTGTCTTGTGAAATGGTTTGGCTTAAACAATTGCTTTCAGAACTTGGAGTACAACATTCAACTCCAGCAACCTTATTCTGTGACAATCAGTCTGCAATACATATTGCACACAATCCAGTTTTTCATGAAAGAACCAAACATATTGAGGTTGATTGTCATTTGATTCGACAACATATTATTGACAAGATTGTGACGGTGAGCCATGTCCGATCAGAACTACAACTTGCAGATATTTTTACAAAAGGACTAAGCCGTCATCGCCTTCATTTCCTTCTTGTCAAGCTGGGAGTCACCAACATATACACTCCTCAGCTTGAGGGGGCATCTGAAGAATGAAGAACAAGTCGACTGGTTCGACTCAGTCCATATTCTGGTTCATGGGTTTGACTTAGAGGCTGGTTTATGGATTGCTGCTTGAAGAAGCACTCTGCGACGTCGTTGGTACCACCACGACGTCGTCCCACTTATTCCAGTTCATTACTCTTGTTACCGTTGAGCCTGCATACCTGTATAGTTTTTATTGGCTCTTTTCTTTCTTAGTGGAGTTAGTTTACACTGTTAATAGTTAGTTAGCTTTTCTCTTTGTTTGGTTTCTCAGCAGCACTATATAAGCTGCTTGTACATGTTCTTGCCATCTCAATGAAACAGAAAGTTTCTACAAACCCTATTCTTAGGGCCGAGTCGAGCCACAAGATTTGTCCATATGGTTTCAAATTCTAGACAAAATGCCCCTTAATCGAAGCCTACCAATGACAAAGAACGCTTTAATACTTATGCCCAACCAGTTTCCGCTTCCATTTTTATAATTTCATTAGGGGAGCCAATATGGTGACAATGCCATATTTGTTGTTATAGTGACAACAACTTAAGGGAGCCAATCAGAAGCTACCATTTTGCATACTTTTTAATTCCAGTCGTTGACCAGCTTTAGCTAGGTTAAAAAGCAACAGATTGACACTTTTGTCATATTTAAAAATTGTATTTTATTCATTCATAAGCTTTTTTCTCTCTCCTCAGTGTATTCCGTGTCATCTTCCTTCAAATCGCAAGATAGTGATGCTAGAGCAAACTACCGATCACAGTTTCGACCATGGCAGCGGCGGAACGAGCTACTAATTAAACCAAAAGAAGTAATGGCGGCGACAAAGATAACTACTGAGCGAAGCGAACGCATTAGTGTGGCTGATGACAAAATCAGATTTAGCTCCTAATTGAAGACGGAGATGGCAGAACGAGCTCCTATTTAAAGACGGAGGGAGCTACAACAGCCACAACGGCGGAGGAAGCTACAAATAGAAGCAAACACATCACCAGCACCGAAGCTCCATTTCGATCTCTCTTATTTCTAAACCTGAAACAATAATCAACACTCAATCACCAGGAATTTCGTTGACAACTAGCTCTATTCCTCCTCACCTGCAAACTCAATAAAACAATCACTAACAAGATGAAAAAAAAATCATGTGGATGAAGTTTATGTTGGTTCAGTAGATCTGCAACAACTACTATCAATCATAACATCATCGGGCGATGCAACAGAAGGACGACAGCAGTCAAAAACTATTTCCACCAACAATGACGTTGGTGAAGAAGGTGAAGGTATGATCCAAACATATTGCAAGCTTCACTTTACAACCTATGATTGCATATAGGTATCGATAGCTGCCGACGACTGTCCACCTAGTCAAGAATCAAAATCTGAAACATATACACAGACAAAAGTCAATATCTACCACCAAGGAATACAAAACAAGCCACAAAAATGCTAAAACACCCCACAGTAGGGGAAACCGAAACCAAACCATAAACAATTTGAAGCACATCATATATATCTTTAATCACACCACAAAAAACCACATTTCTTAATTGATATTTTTGTTACTTACGAATAGAAGATGAACATTGCCTAGGTACTTCGAAGGTGATTGCGCAGCTTCTGGCATATTGTCATTGAAATGATCAGCCATGTGCTTACATCAATTGTACTGAGTAAAATCATCAACCATATCATCTTGCAAAAATCCAAGATAACTAAGGTTGGCCTTCTGATTATTGCTGGGACACAATGACGCCTCCATTGTATACAAAACAAATAGGTCCCTCTAGTTCTTCATGTCCTTCTCCTCTTCCAAACAAATTTGGATGTATGCAGGGTTGCTTTCCCTTTTCTCATGTGAGAAAGTCCTAATCCCCAAGGCATTTCTTTGCGTCTTAAAAGCAGACAAATGAACATCATAGGGTCCACGAGGCAACCCATAAACCCTCTCAACATCCTGCTCTCCAATTCTAAACTTCCCTGAGCTAAGTAGAAGAAAACACCTTGACTTAATAACTTGTACGAGCCAAATTAGTAAACTTCTCTAGGATCTTGGTCAGCTTCACTCTAGAAACATCCAAGATGGTCAGACACCCCCCAACTTCTCTTTAGTTGTGTTTTTAGCGTTGAGAATGTCAAGTATCCTACTAGCACTGGTCTGGTGCCTCTTTTTGGTGACTCGAGGCACAGAAGAAGGACTAGCATCCTAACCTTCTTAAATATTAGCATTAGTACTATTCTTCTCTTCCGAGTTGCTGGTGCTGTCTCCTTTGATTTACCCTTCACTACACGCCGCTTCATGGGTGATATGTCTACAACACAGTTAAAAATACAAATCAATATAATGGATGTATTCCGACAACTATAATTTATACCACAAACCACCTAATGCAAACTGTAAACTCCATGAAACATATAACAAACCAACATCAAATCACTCAACAAACAATTGGTTTAAGTAGACTTACACAAATCACAAACACCTTGAGGAAAACCACAAACTTTGTAATCAAAACCACAAACGACTTAAAGTAGTCCATGACACGAGGAAGCACAACCACAAATGACTTAGAGCAAACTATATCACGAATAATTAGATCCAAAAATGACTTAAAACAAACCATAACACGAGGAATCACAACCACAAACCACAAACACCTTTAGACCATAAACTTTGTCACCTTTACCACAAATGACATGAAACATACCATAAAACGAGGAATCACAACCACACAAAAACTCATAAACCATGACTATTACGAACAAGAGCACAAGCCTCTGTACGAAAACCTAAATCACAATAACAATAACAAAAGTGAACCGCATAAAAAAAACACGAGATAGCAAACAACAAAAATTCTCAAGAACACCAGAAACACTTTAGAATATGCTAGAAATTCTAAAACAGACACATAAGTAAAATAACTAGAAAGCACGCCACAAGCATGCTAAAGCAAACAACAAACTCTAAACAAAACACACACGAAAACAAATTTTGCTCTTCTCCTACAACAAATGAGCACAACAGGAAAAATGCATGCCAGAAAAATCAAGGATGAAAACAACAAAATGCATACCTAAAAACTAGGTTTATAGTGAACGAAATTGTGAGGCCACGATGCAAGGAGCAGAAGGAACCTTGCAGAGGAAATCGACAGCCGACAATGAAAGAAACAAAATCGGGCGTAGGAACAATGACGACGATGGAGATGGAAAATCCAAAATTTCAACTACCGACGGAGAAGACGGTTCACGTAGAGTGTCGGGAGCAGACAAAACCGCGCTGAGGAAATCGATAGCCGACAATGAAAGAAGTGAAATAGGGCAGAGGAACAACGACGACGACGACAGAGTTGGAAAATAAGCAATTTCAACTACAAACGGACGAGACGGTTCACACATAGCAAAGTCGTGAAGAAAAGGAAAGTGAAAAATTAAATTACGGTGTGCAACATCATGCACAATTTTCTTAATTTAAATACTAGCTTAATACCCGGCCAGTTGGGCGGAGAAAATTAAAACACGCTCCAGCATGTTACTATAATTTAACATATGCTAAAATGTAATTGGTTGAGATGTATATACTAAAGTTGGAGTGACATTTTCATTGTGAATAACATAGTAATAACTTGGATAGATAACAAAGGTTACTAATCATCTATAAAATTGGCATGAAAGGCTTAAAAATATTAAAGTTAGACTTAACAAAACCATAGAATACCAAGTTAGTGTAGGATGGATAATAATGACGCTTTTAATACATATAAGTTCTAAATGGACACTAAAATAAATACATTATAAAACACCAAAGAGAGGTTCAATAAATTTTGGCTAAAAGTTATTCAAATGTTTGTACCAAAAGCTGGTCATATGGAATCTTGAAATAAACACACACACATATATATAGGTCACACTCGTATGTTCCTGACGCATAGTATGCTCCGAATTTTTTGCACCGTTGATCTAATATAACGATCATTATTAATTCTAATGAAATTAATTATTTATTTGTAATTACAATTCCTGTTTGAACCCGTTAACATTTTATACATACACCTTAGTCCCCAAAAAAGTTTTTTCATTACTTTTTATAGTAAATCACACAAGTTCTTTCAATTATAGTTTTCAACCCCAAATTTTTATTTTTGAAATTTTATTTATCCATGCAATTCGTTTGTCATGACTCTTCTTCTTCCCCCACCATCTCCCTCTGCATCTGAAGTTTTTCAATTTTGTTTTTAAACTCCGGCGAGGATAATTCCGCTGACGAGACACGAGCTCCAGCCTCTGTCATCGTTAATTTCCAAAGCTTATTCGTCGTCGTACACCGTCAACTAATTCCGATTCGTCAGCAAAAGAGTAGCAGTTCGGTACACGCTTATCCGATCACCGAATATCTTCTCCGGTAACCACCCACATTTGACATTACCATCCTAGTCGTCGTCACCACCGTAATTCCGACACTGTCTCTCTTCTCCCGCGACCCTAAATCACCATCCCAATCACAGACGTCACTGTAATCGTACCATCGTCTCTCTTCTCCGAAAATCCCATGTTCCGTAGAGACCGACATCCAAGTGAAATCCAAGCGAAATCCCCTTCCTCCTTGCAAGCTTCAGAACAATCGACGGGTCAATCCTCTTCACTTTCCAGTCAAACACATTAAACCCCACCGCCGCCACGATTGAATTCTACCCTAGGCTCGTAATTAAATCCTTACCAACTGAACCCCCTCTCCATCGGAGCTCGGGTGCCGTAGTTGCAGCCGCAGCAGCGAATTCACCAGCAACCTCTGCTTTGCATTGATGGAGATCATCTCCAACTCATGCGCGTCCCCCAGAATTCCAAAATCCAAGCCGGAGCATTCAATCAGCGTGTGTTTATCTGCATATTTGAGAATCAAGCTGTAATGGGTTTAACAGTAGGTAGTAATTGGGGTTTCTTTGATGATGACGATGACCTTTGATGGAGGATGACAATGAAGTTTTGATTCATAAACCATTCCAGCCAAATTTTAATGGAGAATTTGTTTTTATCAATTGTATAAATTTTGGGGTTGAATAAAATAACTCTACAAAATAAGGTATCATACGAGCAAACATGATGGTAATTATTGTTTGGGAACTTCATAGCACGTATAATTATTTGAAGGGTGTATTTTGTAATCACAATTATTATTAAATATATAATTTTTATATATTTAATATTAGCCGTTAGATTAGATCAACGATCTAAGAACTTGGAGCATGCTATGCGTCAGGAGCATACGAGTTGTATCCATATATATATATAAAAACTTAAAATCACCAATAAACTACTAAATTCAAATGACTAAGAAGTCTATTCATGATCACTGATCTTCCTCTTTACCGCACGGTCATCAAAAGATTTCTCGCCTACGTGATCCAATACAACAAAACATGCTTCACAGGATGGTTCTAGCACTGAAAGGTCAAACAGAACATGTAAGTGATGGATATTGTTAGTCACATTCTATTTGATGAGTAGTTATGTTAGTGAAAGCTTAATCAATAATATCGTAAATGACATGAAGTCTTTGAAGTAGTCAACAGTATAATTTATAGCTGAAAAGTAAAACTGCAACCCCCATTCAAATTTCCCTGCCCATAGAGTGATTTTAGGAAGCTGATGTGGCAGGATGTTAAGCGGGAAAAAAATAAAACTCCCCGCCCAGAACTAAGAAACCGTCCCTCCCCAACTTTTCTCCTGTTTCCCACGTCATCATTTTATTTTATTTTAGTTTTCGTTTGACTGAAATTAAGCCCACCTTTTCTACTGGTTATTAAGAGAGAGAAGAAACTCACGGAAAGGGAAGCGCAATTGCAAGCACATTACAAAGAGAGGGAGGAAAGGTGAAAGGGAGGAGAAGGAAGGAGGTTGCTTACCCTTTTACAGATACGATCTGCGGAAGGAATGGAAGAAGCGATTAGGCAGGCGCAGAGGAGCTTCCCGTTGTCAGTAAAGTAGAAAGCGTCGGGGTTTCCATGGTCGGGGATCAAGGAGAGCTTTAGGGAGCGGAGGGTTTGGGGCTGCGATGGATCGAATGTTAGGGTTTGGAGGCGGCGGGAATTTGGGGTTTTGAGGAGAACCTGGATCGATTTGGGGTGCATATTTGCGGGTAAACTTTCTAGGTTTTGGGAAGACAAAATTGAATCGTGTAATTGAGGAGAGAAATCGGAAGAACACCGTCTCCCCCGCCGCCACGAACCCTGCTTCTTCTTTCTTCTCTGATTCAGGCTCTAGAAGGTCGCTCCAAATCGCTCCAGCTACTCTTGGATGGGTTTGTTCTATTTCTCCCCCTTTCATTAACTCTTTACATTCTGGGTTCAGTTCATATTCATTGCATTCTGAACGAGGGTGCTTTCCAAGACCCTAAGTTATTCAACTCTTTACAAAAAGAGGGCATTTTGTTCCCATTCCAAAGCTTTGTCCAAATAGGAAGCTAATTATGATACTGGAATCGACAGCTTCCAGCGACAAAGACGAAACCAGGAAAACACAGAAGTAAAAGAAAGATGGAGCCGCTGTCAAATTCTATTCAGTTAGAGTTAGTTAACTCTTTTCAGCATCACTGTTATTTTTAATGTTTGTACATTAGATCTGATGACTTTGAATGGTCCTAGGTAAAAAAAGTTGCATAGCTATGAATGATAACATGATGAGCTAAATCGTCACTGTAAATGCTTGAAATTGTGTTAATTCCTGACCCGACTCCGAAATTTCCCCTCCTAACCCTGAACTCCCCTGCCATTTTAAAAAAAGAGAAAGAGTACATTAGTAATGACTAATGTAGGGAAACTGATGATATGATCTCATTGTCTAGGCATGTTGCTGCTTCACATCATGCGCTTAGCGTGTGAAGGGGAACCTTAAATCCCACTCTATATTTAGCTTCGAGTTGTTAGCTATACCTGCTAACAGTCATCTTGAAGAACCTCAGGCGTTCATTTTGTTCTCGCCAGCAAATTTCAATCCTGCTGAACCGTTGTAAAGATCTTTGCACAATTTTCAAATTGCAGTATGATCCTGACCTGCCTCCCATTTGTTAAGCTTGAATCTTTATGAATGTTTGGGAAACTGTGGTTTGATGAACCAGATTTCAATCCTGCTGAACCGTTGTAAAGATCTTTGCACAATTTTCAAATTCCATCACCACCTCTGCTCCCATCTCTACCTTATGGTATTCTCTGCATATTTAGTATGAACCCATAATGGGATATTCAGGTAACATCTTACATCAATGTCTTGGTATTTGTATCCATGAACCAGATTAGAAGAAGCACATATCCCAATTGGGTGGGCTCAATCACTACATATTTTCTCCTCTCCTCCACAGAGGACCCTACCCAACCTGAAGCCATCAGTGTAGAAGAGAAGGAACCATTTATGTGAAAGCTAAGTGGACCTTGAACCTGGATAAAGAGACCGTTGTAAGTATCGAACGGTAAGTGGGGAGAGAGGGTAGTATATGATTGCAAATATAATTTGCTAGGATTGGTTGATGCTCTACTCAATTGACAGTTAATTGGTTTTGGAGAAGTATATGATTCCGTGGGGCAACAACATCAATGGTTATTATGTCTCTAAATTGGTTTTTCACTTTCGATGCTGGCCCTTAATCCTTTTTGGCTATAGTGACAAGGTCAGTTTCTACACCCTCCATTCTTTTCTCTCTTCTGTTGGCAGCAAAGTTGTGGCCGGTATGAATTTAGTTTGAGTCAACAGAAGATGGAATTAGTAGGCGTCCAGACTGACTAGGGTGATAGTGTATAGTTTCTTGGGGTTTTGAACTCATTTTTTCAATATTCTTCAACTGGTTATTCAATTCAAAAGCAACAAAGTTCCATGCTAAGTTACTCTCCTTATTGGATCTTTTAGTTGTGTATAATTCTTGGTTTCGTGATATGGTATTGGAGATATGAGCAGGTGAGGTTTGGAACGGACCAGAGCATTAGCAGCAGTTGGTTGTGAGATGGTATGTGTAAAATGGAATCATGGTAATTACTTGGCTCTGCTCATATAGGTCGGCTATATTTGAACCTCAAGGGAAGAATTCTCTTGCCACTTTTTAAGCTTTTTGTTTAGGTTTCCAACATCAATGTGTGACTGCTTTATGTCAACATAATCAAGCTTAATTGTAAGCAATACTTCCCACTTTGTACACTCAATTTTTCTGTGTTTCACGGCTTTCTTATCTAACTTTTTTGTTTCTAAATTTCCTCTATTTTGGATATAACTTGCAGTTTAGGCTATGTAATCGACAACTAATGATTTAATCCATGACCTTCGGAAGAACGGTTTGAGTTTACATTTTCCTTATGTCATTAGTTCTTATAAGTAATT